ATAAAATAAAATAAAATAAAATAAAATAAAATAAAATAAAATAAAATAGTTTAAGCAATAAATTAAGTAGTCAGCACCTATGGTATACCTTGAGATGCCCCAGTGACTCTAGGACATCTCAATATTCTTCTGCGATGTCTGAAATTCTCACTTGGGCAAATAATGAAGACACTAAGGGAGCCTATTAAACTATTATATCATGAAAATCTAAGAAGAAGTAAATTAGCTAAGGAGTTGGAGCAAGAAACTGAGGTTGTGGGCCAGGTAAGATCAGAATCATGAAGTAGATCTTAATTAATTGCAAGCAAGTGGATGGCAGACTTTGGCAGCAGTGTGGAAAGCCTTACTTAGGTTGTAGAGATGATAGCCAAGAGAAGATTTAAGATAAAGTACAGAGGAGAAACCAGAATTGAAACCAAAGCAGATAGAGTATTACAGTGTTCACCAGAATGTTCTAAGCAGCGAAGTGAAAAACAGTGAAAACCAGAAGTGAAAACCAGGGCATAGGGGAATATCCTTTAGTCATCAGAACACATCAAGCAGTGAGAAGCAGTGGGTTATAGTCCAAGCCTAGAGAGACAAGGCAGCCCGTGAGTGCAGGTCCAGAGGAGTTATGGGGAACCCACGACATTATTTCTGGGTAAAGAAGGGGAGGCATTGGGAGTGCCAGCCAATTTAGGCAAATTATGACAAAAATATTGGAGACTCCCTAGTTTTGTCACCAGTAAGAATATAGAAGGGGCCAGGGTTGAGGTATGCAACAATTCTATTCCTTCTGCTGGTACCCTATATTGACTACAGACAGCAATGCTACTAGAGACTGAGGGTTTCTGGACACAGTCTAGTTTTAGTCAAACCTCTGGTTTGGGACCTTGGTTCAAGCCACACCTCTTTGGGCTCTTTCTAGAGTTCTCTCCTTCAGATTTTAAAATTTGATTCTAAATCTTTGAAGATAGCCAGAAACATCTCACACATCACCCCATGTAGCTTTTTGATGAAACAAACCTCTTGAACTGAAGAACCCACCTGGCCTCACAGCAACTGGTTTACCTTCCTCCTTTGAACTGCTGAGCTAAGGCCCTCCAAGACTTTGGCAACAGAGTAGATATGGTTCTGAAATCAGAACCTAAGGGATTCAACTGCAACTTGCTTGCCTGAGGAGGGGGAAGTGAGTAGTATCTATAAAACAGGGACAACACTTGTGCCTACTACCTCTTAGGGTTATTATTAGGAAGAGATGTGTTCATAAGTATAGCATGTCTGAGAGACAGAAGGGAAGAAGGGAGAGGGTGGGAAGGAAAGGATGAACATTAAAATGTAGGGTTTATTTAACTGTCTTCTCAGATTTGAGACTGAGGCTAGACTCAAGCCACTGGCCCTTTGTCCTCTGTTTCCTCAACATACTTTAAATGACAAAAATGCGTAGGCTTGGTACTGATGAGCCCATAATTCGCCCATTCCACTGTCTGTTCCTGAAAAGTTACATGACAAGGATATACTTAAATTTATCACTGTTGGCAAAATTAGAAGGTAACATACATTAACCAGGAAGTAAAAGAGCACCATAAATAGTTCAAATTTCCCTCTAATTTAGGGAAAGGGTCAGTCTTTTAGTCTAAAGGACTTCTAACTTCTTAGGTCCTGCGATACGGAAAGTTCGTAACTATGAACACAGCATTTCCATTTTCCTGTTCAAAACTGAGCAAATGAAGTAAAAATATAGAACCTAATTGCCACATTTATCTAATCATCTGGAGTAAGTGAACAAAAAACAATAGCTGTGCACAAATATTAATCAAAGAGTACCCATTCTGTTAAACTTCCCTAAACCAAAGCAAGCTGGTGGTTTAGAAGTCAGAGGTCTGACTGCAACGAGGTCTAACTAACTGTGTACCTTTAAGGATACTTAGATTGGACTTGAATTCCTTTTTCTCAAGTGAGGTTGATTCTAATAGCAAAGTATAATGATTAATTATGCCAGTGGAACTATATCCATATCTACATACTGTACTAGACAATTAAAATATTCCGTTTCCCTCCTCAGAAAATATCCTCTTTCATATTTTCATCTCCATAATAATAGTGACTTGTCCAGCAAAAAGCAAGAGCTTCAGAATTAGCTAGAACTGGGTTGGTGGGCAAGTTATTTAATTTTTGCTAATGCTTACTTCCTCATTTAAAAAATGAGGATGATAATTCTTACCCCAGAGTGTTATGGAGACATTTGAATGCCATAATTAATTGTTTACTAAAAATCCTTAAATGACTTCATAATTCATTATTGATTATCTGATTTTAGAGACTTGGTTGAAACTGCTTTCCTGTAAACAGTCTCTTCATGACATTTTAATTAGAGGCTTGCTCTACTTAGGTTAACATTTAAGATATAACAAATACTGCACATTTGTTTAAAGCAGTTTAGGCACCCAATAAATACTACTTGTATCTTGGATTTTTAAAGTTGTAGCTATTGCATATTAGGAATTAAAAACAAATGAGCCATACTCAATTGAATAAAAACAGTATTTGGGGGGGCACCTGGGTGGCTCAGTCAGTTAAGCATCCGACTTCAGCTCAGGTCATGATCTCGCGGTTCATGGGTTCGAGCCCCGCATCCGGCTCTGTGCTGACAGCTCAGAGCCTGGAGCCTGCTTTGGATTCTGTGTCTCCCTCTCTCTCTACCCCTCTCCCGCTCATGCTCCGCTTCTCTCTCAAAAATAAACATTAAAATAATTTTAAAATATTAACAAATAAATAAAAACAGTATTTTTTCCCTCAAAATTATAAACATTCATTGAGTAACTAAAGTACTAATTATATTCAACCTCAAGAGACTCACTGCCCTTTAATTGTGTTGACAAGTGAACCCATGCCTTGGAAGTTTCTTTTTGAATCTTTGAAGTTATCTCGTTATCTGTTTGTTTTGTGTGTGTTTGTTTTTGTTTTTTTTTTAGCAAAAGAGTAGGTTTCCTAAAGATCTTGTCACCATCCCCCGACCTCACACTTGGCCCATCCCCCAACCTCATAGTTGGTCACAACTCTTCAAAAATTCTGAAGCAGAATTTCTGATGCCGAAATTCTGTTTTCCCCATTCTCTCAGAATTCCATTTTTTCTTGTGCCGTCTTCCAGGAGGTGAGTCTCAGGGACACTCCCATCCCGTCATAAAGTAGCCAGATCCTTCGTTGCCAGTCACTCTGATTTCCTGTTTCCCTTGTCTCAGGTGAGAATCCTAGGGCACTTCTGCTCTCCTCTGTTCTCGGTGAAGAGACAAGTACAACTGCTGCCTGCTCTTCTCATTTTCAAGGGTAAATGTGCTCAGGTTTTTATGGACTAGTGTAGGGGGACAGAAAGAACTATAAATATTAATGAATCCTTATAATGGCATTACAAGGTTGACTTTGCAGCTAATTTTTCTTTTTGGATAGCACCAGTCACACATTTTGATATATGTGATGTACTAGATGTATTTGTTTATTTTCATAACAACAGCAGTAATGGTTATTAATGATTACTCGTATCTCGTAGATGTAGTAAACATGCTAACAGCCAAAAGAAATTTGATGCTGACTAATAATTTTGTTAATTAACTATTGCTTCTTTGAGTTTTGGGACCCGATCTTCCTCCTCTTCTGTGAAGTGGAAGCAGAGCTAGCTGGTTTGGCCAAACTGATGCATAACCAGCAAACGTTGTAGAGATGTCTGAATTCTACGCTAATAATTGGTTTTGCTATTCTTTGTTTTAAATGTCACTTATTCTTGTCTCACTTACTTATTCCACTCATCCAATTTAAACCGTCCGGATAAATGACATTTGACAAGGTAGAAAAATATTTCCATCGGGCTGAGGGAAGAGTTTGAAGGCTGAGCTTGAATAGGTTGCTTTCCAAGTGGACTCCTCCACAAGATGCCAAGAAGCAGTCACAGGTGAATTCATGCAAGGCACAGTAACGGCCAGGGCCAGTTGATCTGCTGGTAGAGTCATGATCCGGGAGACTTTCTCATGCAGGTTCCCTCGCAGAACGTGCTGGGTGCTGATGAATGCCATTGGTAAGGCACGCCACATCATCAGATGTGGCTCCACTGTGGTATGAATTTGTTGAGTGTCTCACTTCCACCAATCGGAACAATTCCATAATGCTCACATATTTAGAGTAAAAAAATTTTTTTTTAGTTTCCTAGAGAAGCTTTCATGTTGAAAGGTCTATGAATCATTAAATAGACCTTGGACTTTGCCTCCTTTTGTCATGCCTTTCATATAGAAGAGGGTGGAGGCAAGGGATAATATTAATAACAGGAACAACTGACTTTTTTTTTTTTTTTTTTTTTGGTATTTACTATCTGTCAGGTCTCAGGGAGGAACAAGAAATTGCCTTTACCCTGTTAGATTCTGTACCTGGAGCCTATAAATTGAACTGACAAAAGACAGATTAACGGGAGAAAAACATGCAAACTTTAGTTAATATTTTTACACGTACACGGGAGACTTCATGGTAGTTTAGTCATTTATAAACGTTTCTTCGAGGAGTCTTCAGACAGATTGGATTCTTTTCTGGTTGCTGAAGAGATTAAATTAATGAGATCGGAGAACTTGACCAAGGCCACTTAATAAGAAAGGGTCTGTTCTTGGTATTCAAAACCCAAGTGTGTCAGACTCCAGAGCTTTTGCTATCAGAGTGGCTTGATCCATTCCACAGTAAAAAATACATTTTCTACTGAGACCCAGTGTATACATATGTAAGTATATAACTGATGGAAAACGTTTCATAAAATAATATCCTTCTACATGTGATGATGGTATTCTGGTGATTCCTATTCTGACCTGCCCTATTCTATCCTACCCCAGTCATTCCACTCTAGTCTGTTTTATTTATTTATAGTCTTATTTATACTATTTTATAGTCTCTAGTCTTATTTATTTATTTTTAGAAAAGTGCTCATTACAACCAGTTAAATCAGTTTTATGGCCTACTAATAGTCTGTGGCCTGCACTTTGGGAAAAACATGTGAGGAATAGGCTTACCCAACATCACTTTCTTGGATAATCATGTTCACAACTACTCTCCTAAAATGCACAGGGCTGCTTAGGTGATGTTTTAGCCTTTGTTCTGCCGTGCGTTTTTGTAATTATGCTTTGGCCACAGGTGGCCTCAGTGTGGAGGCGTTATCTGAGCTTCCCTATTTCCTTGAACTAGAAGCATGTGATCTCCGCTGAGGCCAAGTGGCAGCAGCCTCCCAACCTATAGATGAAGATAAGGGGCCGATATCATTGTAAGGGCAACTTTCACTGAGTTTCTAAAATTTGAAGTAAATTTTGCTGCTATGACTCTTCCTCTTACCTTCTGTCATTTTTTACATTCTTTCGAGGAGAGGTAGAGTCCTGTTACACCCCCAAACTTCTCCGTATCATCTAAAAATTTCAATATCCACAGTAAACATTTCTTTGGCATTCTAGGACTAGGAATTCACAATCCCTAAATTTTTCTAGCGATACTCCTAATCTAATTATATACACTGGCTTTTCTGGTTGCTGTAAGTCAAAAACAGCTGTCTCCACACCTGACTACAGCTGTGTTTCTTATAGTTTGGGGTAAATGCAAATGAACCATAATAAGCAAAATCTCATAACATAGGTAGTCCAGCAGAAATAATATGCAAGTCTAGATTTTACAAGCTTCTTGTAAAAAGTACTTCATAGGGAGTGAGATTGATCTAGGTATTACCAGTATATCTTTCAAGAGTTAATACCTAAAGATTGAATAATGTGAATCTTCCAGCTCTCGCATAATAGAGCTAAAAGTGGAAACAACGTCTCAATCCTTTTTCTGGATCTGGGCTCCTTAACCCCTAAGCTGTGGGTGTCACTGGCCTTCTGGTCCCATTGGCAGACGAAAGACTCTGTTAAGATAGAAAGAAAAAAGTTAAAAGTGAATGTATGAATTAAAAAAAAATTAATGTTTTTATTAGGAGCCTGCTATCTCACTAGGTGCCAAATATCTTAAATTGATAAGAAGGAAAATAACTGTCATATTGTCTTCTGAAACTGAGCTCGTATCTTGTTCCTTTTTTAAAAAACAATTTTAATGTTTATTTACTTTTGAGAGAGCGAGAGACAGAGTGTGAGCAGGGGAGGAACAGAGAGAGAGGGAGACATAGAACCAGAAGCAGGCAACAGGCTCTCAGCTGTCCGCACAGCCGTCAGCTGTTTGTATTAGACTATAGCGCTCACTTCGGCAGCACGTATATACTAAATCGTATTAGACCATAGTGGCCACTTGGTTCTTTGATATAATCCCATGTGTAGATTTAGTAACTATAACTTTTACAATTCAGAGAAATAAAACCCAAAAGTCATTTGACTGGTCCAGGAAGAGAAACATTGGTTACTCACCAAATGTGAACTCATAGCTCACGTTACAGCTAGGATACCTTTGTGAACTTCATTGTGCGAGTCACCAGTAATCACAGAGGTACTTGGTACTCCCAAACTTTGACTTGATTGGTACTAAGGCCTTTTGCCTATTTTGCTAGGCAGCCGAGACGCTGCAATTACAGGGAACTAGGGCTGGTCCCAGGTTTATGATGGTGGGATATTGGGTTGATGGCATGTCAGGCATTACCAAGCTCAGTCTGGGGCTTGGCAAGTGGCATTGCGGAGAGGATCTCTAGCGAAGCTATTGTGTTTTTAACTAGCCTCTAGAATTTAGAGACTCTTTAAGACTTTATTCAATTATTCCAGTACTCAATTTCAGTCATATCTGGGTGTGTCAGTGCCTCATGCTTGGCTATAGAAGACATAATTGTCTTCTGAGTAATGTTTGAACTCTGTGGCTTCTGGATGCTATGCTTCATTTTTTGTTTGAACATTTTCATTTTAAAGTGGTACCATAAGCCATAATTTTGAATTTACTGAAATTCCAAGTACGTTGAGTTCATTTACTTAATTAAATGATTAACTCATCAAGCATGCATAGTAGTGGGGACTGACAAAGATTCTCTATTGACTATGATAATCATGCTCACCGAACTCTCTTTTTTTTTTTTTAAATTTTTTTTTCAACGTTTATTTATTTTTGGGACAGAGAGAGACAGAGCATGAATGGGGGAGGGGCAGAGAGAGAGGGAGACACAGAATCGGAAACAGGCTCCAGGCTCTGAGCCATCAGCCCAGAGCCCGACGCGGGGCTCGAACTCACGGACCGTGAGATCGTGACCTGGCTGAAGTCAGACGCTTAACCGACTGCGCCACCCAGGCGCCCCCTGAACTCTCTTTTTGACTAAGTCTCAAACGCTGCTGAGTTTCTGCATCCTTCCCTGTAGAATCTAGTTCTAGTAAGAATCCTGTTAAGTCAGTTTAGCAAGAATTCCCATCCTTCACATCTGGTCACCTGGGATATCTGATTAGGTCTCCTAGCTTCTACTATCCTCCAGGTGATGCCTGATCACCCTGGTCTGCCTTTAGCAAGAATCCTGTTAGGTCAGTTTAGCCAAAATCTTCCCTTACCCCAGATGTTCCTTCAGTAATTTTCCATCCACCGCTCCCCCCCCCCCCGCGCCCCCCCCCCCCCATTTTGCTCCATGGCTGTAAAGTCCCACTTTTTCTTGTTGTATTTGGAATTGAGTCCAGTTCGATACTGAGGTCTCTTTCTCTTACTGCTCTGGTATTTTCTTTGCTGGCTTTGTAAATTCTGGATGATACATTTTGATTTTTGTTTGAACATCTTCATTTTAAAGTGTCCCCATTGGCCGTAATTTTGAGTTTATTGAAATTCAGAGTTTATCAAATTTATTTATTTAATTAGTGAACTCATGTATGTATCTATTGAGTGTCAATTAAGTGGCTTGGAAATTTGAACAACAACCTAATCTTACAATTAAGGGTACATTGTGTACATTCTTTCATAAGGTCTCTGGGGTCTACAAAGATATTTTGGACACAGAATGTCATTATAGGTCCATTCATGTTCTTTCCAAAGGAATTTTCTTCTTAGAATAAGATGAATTACTTTCTTATTTTCAATTAAACACTTTTGGTATTAAGCTATCTTGCATCTTCAAAGCTGAAATATTACTATCTTTTATAACATATCACTATAACTTGCTTAAGGCTTCAACATTTAGAATTCATGTTTAATCACACTGTGGTTTTCTGGCTTCTGAGATGTATTACTTTCTAATTATATCATGGCTCAACAGGACAAACTTTTATCACATAAAATGAAC